TTTCAGCCACATGTTCTACACCAAGAGAATCAAGTATTTCGAATGCCAGCTGAGACTCTTCTCTGGACACAATCTGGCTTTTATAAGTCGATGATCAGATCCTACCTTTGGCTCCTTCTTTGCCTTTCTAAGGCTGATATGTCTCACGTGCCGGAAAAATTGCCGGTTTTTTAATAAAAAAGATTGTATTTACTTAGAAGCATGATGTCAACAAAACAGCCACAACTTTTTGGTTTTTTTCTGCAATTACAGAATGGTATTCAGTTAGCAGAACATTCATAAAAGCTGCATCAGAGACAACTGAAGATGAAAACACTACCAACCCCATATATTAACTAATTTGTGCTGTGCACCAACGAGACCCTGCTTTAAATTTACATGCCAGTTTACAAGCCCTACACTGTATCAGGAAAGGTTAGTGGCCACTGAAAATATCACCAGGGTTGGGCATGGTGGCTCACGCGTGTAATCTCAGCACTTTGGGAGGCCAAGGCAGGCGGATCCCTTGAGGTCAGGAGTTCGAGACCAGCCTGGCCAACATGGTAAAACCCCATCTCTACTAAAAATACAAAAAATTAGCCAGGCGTGGTGGCGTGCACCTGTAGTCCCAGCTACTCAGGAGGCTGAGATGGGAGAATCACTTGAACCTGGGAGGAGGAGGCTGCAGTGAGCTGAGATCATGCCATTGCACTCCAACAGCCTGAGTGACAGAGGGAGACTTCGTCTCAAAAAGAAAAGAAAATACCACCAGGACAGGACTATCTAAAGATAACATTTGGTAATGTGTTAACTATACAAAAAAAGACAATGTACGGTTTAAAAACAAATGTTACACAGTCTTCCATTTCAATTTCTTTCTTTAAAAGAAGTGAATTGTATATAGGGAGTTTAAATGCTTTATAGATAAGGAAAAAAAACTGCTAGAACCAACTTATTCATCATCATCATCTTCATCTTCCTCTTCCTCTTATTCCCTCTTTTTCTCGCTTTTTTCAGCCTTGACAACTCCCTTTTAGTCCCAGCTACTTGGGAGGCTGAGGCAGGAGAATGGCGTGAACCCGGGAGGCGGAGCTTGCAGCGAGCGGAGATCGCGCCACTGCACTCCAGCCTGGGTGACAGAGCGAGACTCCGTCTCAAAAAAAAAAAAAAAAAAAAAAAAAAAAACTCTGAGGAGTTGACTGAGAATCTGGGTGCTGCTTCTTGTGCTCCTCCCAACAACTGTGCACAAAGAATGCATATCACATTTTACCTCTCAGCTTCCTTGGATCTCCTTTGCCCATGTTTAGTCTTTTTTTTTTCCCTCAGTGAGCCAGAGTCGCCCAGTGCCTGTCTGGCTCTCACTTGCCCCAGCACTGTCTCTATGGTGCTCAGTACACTGCAAACTGTTTGTTTTCATTGCATGCGAAACAATTTGTTTCACTGGCCAGTAGTTGTGCTCAGCCACTATAACTGAATACTTTATCATAAAGAACAGAAAGAAAGAGGCCTCCCCTTCTCCCTTTGGAAGACCCACAGGACTAGCTGTACCCTGCCACCATCCCCAGCCCCAGCCAGATCACTTCCCTCTGACCAGGCTGGAGAGTGGAAGGCAAGGACACCCAACACGCCACGTTCCAGTATAGCTCTTCTGAGTCAAAAAGGGAGCTTCCAGGGTCTATGGAAGTCCTTTGAAAACAGAGGTGTATGGTTGTTGTTTTTTTCTTCTTCTTCTTCTTCTAATGTGTACTCTGTAAGAGGAGAGGCCTGCTCTTGGTTCTTGCTGTGTTACCAGAGTCCAGAACAGAGCCTGGCCCAAGGGAGCAGCTCCCTAGGTATTTGCTGAATGACAGGATGAATGACTGCATGAATGAAGGAACAAACAGGCATTCTCCCTAAATTAGAAGGAGTAATGCATAGCAGAGTTCCTCTTCTCAGTAAGCACTATTGTGCTAACAATGCCTTTGGTTCACTTTGGGGCACAATCTTAGCAAAAACTGGGAAGTGCATCATTAACCCCAAGACAGACAGACAGACACAATCTTAGCAAAAACTGGGAAGTGTATCATTAACCCCAAGACAGACAGACAGATAGACACACACACACACACACACACACACACACATATATATTTTTTTGAGTCTTGCTCTGTCACCCGGGCTGGAGTGCAATGGTGCCGTCTCAGCTCACTGCAACCTCCACCTCCCGGGTTCAAGTGATTCTCCTGCCTCAGCCTCCTGAGTAGCTGGGACTACAGATGCATGCCACCACGCCCGGCTAATTTTTGTATTTTTAGTAGAGACAGGATTTCACTATGTTGGCCAGGCTGGTCTCAAACTCCTGACCTCGTGATCTACCCACCTCAGCCTCCCAAAGTGCTGGGATTACAAGTGTGAGCTACTGTGGTCCCAGCACCCAAGACATATATTAAAGCTTTTTGGAGTAAATTCTAGAGATTAGCTATTTGCTTCTTGTTTGTATCTAAGAACAGTAAGCATTGGGTAAAATGTTGCTTTTAAGAGTTCCAAAAGAGGCACTTATCATGTTCATTACTACAGTTTTCTTTCTACCTCAAATAAAATTTGGATATTCACTTTGGTGGGACCTAATAGTTAAAGCTGCCATTGCAATGGGACATGTAGCCTGGAACTGCAAGCCACATTTGGGTTCCACCTCTAGACTCAAATAGTGCCTGCATTACAAACTCCCTGGAAATGGAAGCCCAGAAAAGGCTAACCAGAATGAGCCAAAGGATGCAGTTTGCAAGTTCCAGAAAGATCAGTGTTTTTGAGTGTAGGCTGGCAGGGCACAGGTCCAGCCTCAACTCAGAGCTACTCACTCTAAAATCAGGTATCTCTGCGTTAGCTGTTTAACAGGCACCACGTTTTCCTAGGGATTTGGAAAACCTGATCATCATCAGTAACATTTTCTGAGCACTTACTGTGAGGAACCATCCTAAGTCCTATAAATCAGTTCATCTTCAAGGTGATTATCTGAGCTGAATTCTTATCTTCACCATTTTATAGACACAAAAACAGAGAAATTAAATAACATGCCCAAGGTTTAGGTACATCTGGAGCCCAACAGCCCAAGTTTGGGTCTCCTATATTTGGGTTTACCATTTCATCAATTCTTTGCAGTAAAGAAGTTGAGAAGCTGCATACAGTGTTCATTAAAAAGAAATATGTAGTTTTTTATATATTGTTTTTTTATCACCTCCTACTATGGACTTTTCCTCCCTGCCCAAACACTGGGTGGTGCCATCAACACCGAGCCCATGCATATGGTGAACAGCATACATTACTTCTTCCAGAAGGCACTGCTTTGTTCTCATCTACAAAGATCCTTCTTCCTTCCTATAGACAAATGACTGGTTCACATATCATGACTCAATTTATATTCAACAATGTTCATTTGCAGTGTAATTATTCTTCCTAATTAGGCTGCTCTGAAGACAAATGACTGCCCCACCCCATCCCCCTCTCCTACAACACACAATGTCTTTTTCCTGATATAAAATGTTTGCTGCACCCTAGAAAAAAACACAAGAAGCCACAGTCTGCTCTCCATGTGACCACTTAGAGAAAAATACTATCATAAGATAGTGTTTCATCTGATATTACTTCAAAATCAGAATCAGATTTCTAATGGATCAATAAGCTTATCATAGTATGACAGCAAAAAGAAATGAGAATCTGATTTTCTCTTTCCTATTTTAAAAACATTTCCTCTTCCCGCGAACATGTGTTCTCTATCTCTTAAATTTAAAAAGGAGTAGTTTCTAAAAGAGAACCAGTACGAAAGAATCAGGAATACCAGCAAAAGTCAACACCAAAGAAGTCAGTATCTGATCCTCTCTTAAACCTGGCAGGAGTGGAGCTCTCTGGCCAGTGGCAAAAGCAATATGCAGGTTATAAATGTTCCTTCAAGCTCAGTTACTCAGGTTTACCTCTCTGGGGTGAGCCTCTAACAGCTCTGGCTCGCCCGAATCTTTACTCCCTCGGCTCCAGCACACACTTTCCATAGCGGCCGCGTTGCGATTTCAAAAAGTTCTCTTTTCCCCGTAGGTCACCCACCGATGATAACCTACATGCACAAACACACTCACACAATCACAGCAGAGAAAATGGGACATACAGGAAATGGCCCGGGTGGAGGCGAGGACAGGGGGTGGAGATAGGACTTTGTCTGTACTCTGGTCTCACTCCCATTGAAACAGCACATGGACTTTCATGGAACTCATGACCATCCTGAAATAACAGAAAAGTTGAACCGGATTGAAGAAAACCCTCTGCTTTTCTACGTTCGAAGAACACTGGGCCGCTGAATGGAAGGGGGGAAAAAAACTGTGTGCCTAAAAACATCCAGAAACACATGCAGAGTCTCCCTAGTCCTTCGCCCATCCTGTGGGCTCAAGCCGCCCATCCCAGATGCGGTCTTCCCCACTCCACGCCCACCTCCTCCAGCCCGCACTCCAAATCACTGAGCTGCCCACAAAAATGCAGTCCAGCTTTGAGAAGCAGCTGACGTCTGTGGCCAGAGCGACCCACACGCCACAGACCAGGGACAGCAGGGGCGACCACTGGGCGGCCCCCAGGGCGCGGTGCCAGGCGCGCTGGAGCCCGGCGCTGAGCTGCGCCCGGGACCCACGCGCCGCCGTCCGAAGCCAGCCAGCGACGGCCGGAGAGCAGGGCTCGCGCCGGCTTCCAGAGGAGACGTTGTTCCCGGCACAACTTTTCCCACTTCTGCGGCCGCCGGCGGCGCTGGGAAGCAGCTGTTCCCTTCCCATTCCCAGCACCCAACGCCCATTCCCAGCACCCAACGCCCATCCCGCAGCACCTCCGACCGCTCCGCGCGGTCTCCCAGGGCGCCGAAGCGAAGTTCCCGCGCCAGCCGCGGCGCAAGCAACCTGGGCTCGGCCGGCCGCAACGGCTCTCCATGCACCCGCGCTGGGCGCCCACCTGGCCGGGCCCACCGGCTCTCCCCTCCCGCAGCGCGCGCGGGCCCGACGCCTGCCACTCACCCTGCCCCAGCTCGGCGTCTCCGGCTCCGAGCCCGCAGCCTTCCCCAAGCCAGGGCTTTCAGTGACGCCTCCTCGCAGCCACCTCGCTCTTCCCCCGCTGGCCGTGCCTGGAAGGAGGAGGCGGGAGGAGAGCGGGAGGAGAGCGGGAGGGGGCGGCGGGAGGGGGAGCCGACGCAGGGGAGGGGAGAGGGTCCGCGGCGCGGGGGAGGAGGCGGCAAGGCGAGAGAGCGCCAAGCTCGGCGGCCGCCCAGACTAGTACTCGCGGAGAGAGAGGAGGAGGAGGAGGGGCGGGGGCAGCGACAGAAAGAGGCAGCAGAGCCGCCCTGCCCAGGCTCCGGCCCCGCGCCGCTGCCCAGTCACCATCGCCGCCTCCGTCCCGCGAGCGGGCCAGGCGTCCGGGGGGAGGGGTCGGGCTCGGGACTCCCGGCGCGGCGCGCGGGGCGGGACGGGGGCGGCGGGCGGGCGGACCAGGCCCGGCCTCCGGAGGGGAGTGTCCTGCGGGTCCGGGAGGGAGTCGGCGACAGGGGATCCCCGAGAGGGGGCGCGGGGACTTGGGAGACGGTCCCTGCTCCCGCCGGGCGGCGGCGGCGGCGTCTTCCGGGGTCCTGAGAGGTTACTGCGGGCCGCGCCGGGGAAGCTCCCGGAGCAGCTTCGAGTAGCCCTGCCGGGGGCGCCGGGGACGCCGGAGGCGGGGAGCGGCGCTGACGGAGCCAGGGGAGAGAGGCCGGGCTGCTCCGGCGGAGAGCCGGCCCTGGGGCGCTCGGAGCAGTTCCCCAGACCCGGGCCCGAGCGGAAAGAACGGCCGTCTGGTGGCCCCGGAGAGTCCGAAACGGGAAAGGGGTCAAGGGGCGCCTGGACCCCCATGCTCGCCGCCCTTTCCCGCAGAGGCGGCTCCGGACATAAGTTTCGGTGCCCTCTGAATATGTAGGTGTGGAAACTCAATTCCAACAGTCACAAAGATTATTCCTAATAGAATGCTTGGTGTTCTCAGCTTCCCTGCCCTCAAAATTACGGTTTCCGGATCAGTTTCGGAGGCGCTTTAGGAACAGCCTGAAAAGGCATTCTTGTCCAGAGAGGGGATGCTCTAACTCCCCACGTCCACCCCCAGGGCTGGGAGCAAAGAACAGAGTTAAATGATCATGAATTCAGGTGCCAGTATGGTTTGTGATCGAAGCGTTAGGACGTGGCACCACGCTAGGCAAACCCATCTTGTATTCCACCCCCGCCCCCCCCCGCCCCCGCAACCCCAGCCTAGTCAAATGCTCCCGTTCCCAGTTTCTCAGCCCCTTGTCTGGGACATCTCTGTCCACCAGTCGCCCAGATACAGATTAGCAATTTTGGGCCTCGCTTCTCCACTCCCGGTAGCCACTCCCATTAGTTCATTTTTACTGTCTTTGCAGTTGCCATACCCTTTCAAGCCCACTGCCACCTTTCTGGTTCTCGCTATCTGGGACTGGATGGCGTCAGCGGCCTCCTACCGGTTCTCTGCCAGGGTCTTCTCTACATTTGCATCCACATGTGCAGGCCTACAGGTGAATGGCTCTAGAACACCCCTCAGGCATGCCACTTCCGGTTCTAGAAGCTTTCTGAGACACTTTGCCAGAGAACATTCTGAATTCCTTAAAAACTCATCAGTTCAAAACCATGCAACAACTGCACCTCCATACGCACTCCTCAGAGCCTGGCACTCTTCTTCAGATGGGGATCCTCCCCTCCCCCTGAGAAAGATCCATGCCTCTATCCACATGGGAGTTGCTGATGCTCTTCCCAGAGCTGGAGTGCTCTCTTTCATCTGCTGCTGCAGCCAAATTCCACTTATCTTCATTGAAAATGAAGTTTGCAGTACCACATTTTTGCTCTAAAAGGATATATGTGCTCTTTCCATTTTGTGAAATCCCACACTAGAAGTAACAGGGCTTGTGGGGAAAGTAGGGTTAGAAAATGACTCCGAATCTATGTAACATTGTAACCAGGGCACTAACAAAAACTAACCATTCCAAAAAACATACCAGCAGAGCCAATGAACTGTGCTGAATTCCTAATAAATACTACAGTACATATAAATGTAGGACTTTACTTTTATAAAAAGATGAAGATAACTGTTGAAGGGGAGTTGTTTGAGGCTGCTGACTTGAGATAAACACAAAATGTACAAATAAAAGGAGAACTCTCTGTCCTGTCCCCCAACCCACATCCCACAAACCCTTCCAAGGTAGAGAGGTCAAGGCCAAATGAATCCAAGAGAAAGAATGTAGGGTGAATGGGCCTATAGCACCCTGTGTTCTCTGTAACTAGATGCACCCTGCTGTGTTTTGCAGCTGCAGTTACTTGGTGGTGCAGAATATTAAAGTGCTGGGAACCCTTGAATATGAACCAACACAACTCTACCTGTTTTATTAATATCTAATAACTAATGAGTTAGTTTGTGTTATCCATGATCTCATTACAGAAACACCCTTGGTAACAGAGTACACTGTACTTAATTCTGTGTTTAAAAAGTAGACTATAGGCCAGACGTGGTGGCTCACGCCTGTAATCCCAGCACTTTGGGAGGCCAAGGCAGGCAGATCACCTGAGGTCAGGAGTTCGAGACCAACCTGGCCAACATGGTAAAACCGTGTCTCTACTAAAAATACAAAAACTAGGCCAGGCGCGGTGGCTCACACCTGTAATCCCAGCACTTCGGGTGGCCGAGACAGGCGGGTCATGAGGTTAAGAGATCAAGACCATCCTGGCTAAGATGGTTAAATCCCATCTCTACCAAAAATAGAAAAATTAGCTGGGTGTAGTGGCACATGCCTGTAGTTCCAGCTGTTCGGGAGGCTGAGGCAGGAGAATCGCTTGAACTCAGGAGGCAAAGGTTGCAGTGAACTGAGATCGTGCCACTGTGCTCCAGCCTGGTGACAGAGCAAGACACCATCTCAAAAAAATATATAATAATACAAAAATTAGCTGGGCATGGTGGTGGGCACCTGTAATCCCAGCTACTAGAGAGACTAAGGCAGGAGAATTGCTTGAACCTGGGAGGTGAAGGGTACAGTGAGCTGAGATCATACCACTGCACTCCAGCTTGGGCAACAAAGAGAGAGTCCGACTTTAAAAAAAAAAAAAAAAAAAAAAAGTAGACTATACTTCATTTTACACATTTACTGAGCACTTACTATATGCCAGGGACTGGCTGTTCCAGGTACTGGGGATACATCAGTGAATAAAAAGAAATACAAAAATATCTGCCCTCATGTGTTGTGGAGACTTGAACACACATCACCAGATGGTTTGTATTATTCAGGATATATGTTTCATATGTGTGTAGCTTGAATTGAGCATGGGGTATTTTAATCTCTTTGAAGACTAGAGTTGAGCCTTACTTATGTCTTTGTAGCTTCCCCAGTGTCTGACACGGTAAATTACTATTGGGACATGTAAATTAGGGCAATTATAGCCATTTAATACTCTTGTGTTATTGAATTCACAGGAGAACTACCTGTAAAATATAAAACTAATTTTTTCTCAGAACTGTGTTTGCAGCTTTTTAGGCAAAAATCAAAACATGTATCCCCAGATGGGATAACTTGGGTCTAAAGAGCAGATAAATTACACTTAATATAAAGCAGGAAGTTAGGAGTGGCAAAGTAGGGAAGAATAGAGAAGAAGATAAATGCTAAAAAGTATAGTTCATGAAGAAAGTACCTTCTAAGTTCTGTGGAAAGAAAGAGAACAGCAGGAACTTTGGGATATCGTGAATCCTGCTTTTACCGTGTGCTTCAGCCAAATTTTCAAGAAGCACTCACTACGAGGCATAAGTGAGGAGGAAATTAGGAGAAATTAAAGGGTGTCTGCACATTTTGGTCAAATGACAAGGAGGCCTTGGAAGAAGATTATTGAGCCAGTTGGATAGGTCATACAGTGAAATTACAGTGATGCCTGGCTAAAATGTATGGTATTGAACTTACTTGCCTGTGCAAATCTATTCTTTGAATGTCTGAATGTTGTACTCCACCTAGAGTACCTTGTTTCAACACGGATAGCAATTTTTCTTGTGTGAACACTTTGCATCCTATTTTTTTCTGAGTAAGAATCTGCTTGGAGTTAAATAAAATATGCATTTATAACAGACAGGAAAGCACTGATATATTTTCATGATTGTCAGCATACTGACTGTTGATTAACTTTAAGTTTGCCTATTCATCTTCATTAAACCCTACTTCCCAAATCCACCACCACCCACTTTAAGAGATTGATTGATATTTCCTTTCTTTTCTTTTCTTTTTGAGACAGAGTCTTGCTCTGTTGCCCAGGCTGGAGTACAGTGGCTCAATCTCCGCCTCCCAGGTTCAAGTGATTCTCCTGCCTCAGCCTCCCTAGTAGCTGGGATTATAGGCACATGCCACCTTGCCCTGCTAATGTTTGTATTTTTAGTAGAGATGAGGTTTCAGCATATTGGCCAGGCTGGTCTCGAACTCCTGACCTCAAGTAATCTGTCCATCTCAACCTCCCAAAGTGCTGAGATTACAGGCGTGAGCCACAACGCCCAGCCCTGTATTTCCTAAAACTGCAAATGATCATAGAATTTCAGTGCTAGGTGCAAACTTAGAATTCAGTGCCTTTTGAAGATCACATAAAATACTAGACAATTTAAGCCAAGAGTCTCTTCAAGGAAACTAGCAGATTGTAGTTCCCACCCACAGGGTCTTGTGAAAAGTCACTAACTTGAACATGATTATTCAGCTTTTTTTGTTCCATGGATATAATAATACAAAGAAACCATCTGAAATTCTAAGAATCCATTTTTCCCTACCAATAAGGGTTGAGAAAAGGTAATTTTGAGCACAAACCCTTGCAAGGCTTTACTGATTAAAAGCAGTAGTCTGACCTGCATGAGACAGAAGCCACCTTTTTGGCCACAGAAATGGCCTGGCCAAAGTCTCCAATGGACTTAGAAATGTCATATATTTATTTCTGCTTCCAGCTGGCAGTTTTTAAGTTGGTGACAAAAATGAAGCCTGTAAATATAAACAAAATTTCTCTATTTTTATTGAAATCTCATTGTATCAAGATGCTCGACTGTCTCTTGAATAAAGGTAACAAAATATCTCCAACTAAGAACAAGGATTACAGGTGCAAATAGGGATGTAGGATATTCTAGTACCACATAACAGAGAGAGCAGTAGCACTAAATCAGACACGAGGGACATAGGATCCCAATAAGGAAAATCTCCGTGATCTGTAGAAAAGACTCTTTTTTCCCTCACAGATCTGTTAAAGGATCTCAACGATCCACGTTCCAGTCTGGCCAAAGAAAAACATGAACCTCAAAATACTCACTGTGGCTAAGTCACAAAAGAAATAAACACACAGAACTTTGGGCACTTGTGCTCTTCCTGGAAAAACTGAAGACTCTTGGCAACTTTTATCTTCCACTTACAGTCTCTACC